ACGCTTTTACAGACAGATTAAGGCCAGAAACATTCAGCCATGAAACTTCCACCTTCGGCTCAGGAGCACAAGTTGCTCCACTGCTTTCCATCTTATTGCCCTCATGCGTTGGGCTGGAGACACTGAGGAGCTCTGGTGAGCTCTCCGTAACTGATGTGAGGGTAAGTGCACATCTCCTACTGGCATTCAAAGGGTTACTTGCAAAGAGTTTACACGTCTTGACTGTCAAGTCTCTGCCTCCATGCATTTCCCACTCTTCCTGTCTCTTGGGTGCAAGGTTTTCTGCTTTCAGTCTTTGCCTGCCAGGCTCGAACTCCACTGAAGCCCTATCAAACATCATTGCTGCGTTGCCTCAGTGCAGCGCACGTATGCCGCCTTCCCTGCGAGGAGAAGGAGGATTAAAAAGCTAAAATATTTAACCTGTCTCTCAAACAGTATTATTCATGGCAGGTAAGTGGCTGAGCAGCATTTTGCAAGGTTTCCCGTGAATAATACATAGGATGGTCAGTCTTGGCACGGGAGCATTACTCCAACTGTAGAATAATTCACATGCCTGAAGGAAAAAGGTGCACATCTTAATTCTTTTCATTTTCTGTAAGTGATAGAATCAAAGAACCAACTACTGGTTGAGTCTAAAGGTTGGAAAAGCCCTTTAAGATCATCAAGTCCAACCCTCACCCAGCACTGCCAAGGCCACCACTAACCCATGTCACTGAGAGCCTCATCTACACGGTGTGTGAACACTTCCAGGGACGGTGACTCCACACTTCCCTAGGAAGCCTGTTCAATACCCAGTGACCCTTTTGGAGCAAAGGAGATTGTTTGATGGTCAAGCTTTAGCAGTTGCAGCTCTGCCTATTGGGACCATGCATGTGGGGGTCTGCTGCCTGGGGCAGGGCAGAGGTGCACAGACCGCATGGGCTGTGAGTCACTGGCTGTGCCAGCACATCAGTGTGTGACTGTGCACAGAAATGAGTGCAGATGGATTTACTGCTGTGGGTGAAGCTGGATCATAACACAGCTCTGGGGCTGCACCTAACTCATATCCTGGCACCGTGCGACCGGGGAGGGAAATGAATGTGCAGCTGCCCTCATCTCCTCCCTGTAGGCTTGGTTTGCAGTTCAGAAGACAGATGGACAGCCATGCACACAAATACACTCAGATTTCTCCCCACAGAATGATGTCATTCTAGGGATTTTTATATTCAGGGTAAAATATTGTAACAGCACCATTTCCTTCAAGCAAGAAAATATTTGAGCAGATCTTCTTATAAAAAGCCTCCGAGTCTATTACTTTGCTGGGAATTAGGTACTTTCTTGTTTCTTTGAAAAAAGCTGCTTTTCTCACCATAAAAATATCATATTTTGGCTGAAATACAATTTTTCCTGCGTTTTGTAGAGAGATGCATAAAGGACTCAATATTCTCAGTTTTGATTATGTCTAGAAAGTCTTAGGTTTCTATTTTGACCTACTGACATCATATAAATTAAAACAAGCAAACAAACAAAAACCCTCCAGCTTTTTATTTGTATAAGCTTTTATTTTTACTTACTCTTTCCTCAGTGGCTTTTTACTCACCCTGGTAATCCACGTGGTAACAGAAGTGATTATAAGTGTGCTTGAAAACTACATCATCCTGCACTTCACAAATACACACATATCTCTCATGGTTAGAAAACAGCATTTTGATTACTGATTTGTTAATACCAACACAAATGAGTCCCAAAAATCTTGCTGCACAATCTGTGAGTCGAAGAGAATCTGTCCATTGACTTATTGCACTTTGGATCAAACATTTGATATACAGAAACATAAGAGATGGTGAGATGCAGCTCATCTGAAGGGATCCCATGTGCAACAGCCATCTATGAGAGGCAGCAGAAGGCTGGGGTGGTAAATAGAGAGGGTGGATTGTGTGGCTTTAACATGTGGCCACAAGGGCATTGGAGTGAGGCCTTTAATTTCACATTAGGATTCTTCTCGTATTTGCTAGATAGAACAATATTAACCTTTTGAATTTATTTAGAAACTCATTAGTGCTTTTTCTATAGTCCATTCTTTTCCTGATTAGCTTTCCTCATTACAATTCAAATTTCTTTCTGCTACATTTACCACATTGTCCTGCTTTCTCTCATCTCTATTGTTGCTCAGCTTAATTTATTAAAGCAATGAAAAAGGAAGGGGGGGATCGGTTGACATAGCTGCCTTCCCACTCTTTGGTGCTTGGGAGGAAAAGGGAAGAAGGGAGACACCCGTGAGCTTGCCTTCTCTCCCTGGGCTGGAGGATGGTGGCAGCAGCTTCTATGCAAGTGCATGAGGCAAGCATGGTTCATGGTGGCAGCATAAAAGACCTTCTGAATATGCTTTAATCTGTGCCCAAAGCTGCCAGCAAGGCACTGAAGTGCCGGGTGAAGGCAGCTGCCTTCACACACGCCACCAGTGACTCTCGCTTCTTATGTGGCTTTAGCCTGTGGGGCTTGACTTTCCGGCTTTTCCATGTGAGCTGTTGCTCAAGGGTTTTAAAATGGAGCTCACTCTCAAATTCCAGGGTCCTCATCAGGCCCTGGAAACTTTCACAGCCCCCATGCCCCCGCCTCCTCTGGCATCCTATTTCCAGGGTTATTCTAAAAACGATGGGTATGCCTTTAGTAGTGTTTCTTAATAGCTTATGGGAGGGCTTTAGCCCCCTTGTGTGTGTACTTAGTATCAATATGGAAGCCTAGGAGTTGCCATAATTGCTCTGGACTCCACATCTCCAGTGCGATACGAATTGACATTTCGGTCAGCTGAGCAGTGCATCTATATCCCATGTGCCTGGGATTAAAGATGCATATGTTTTTGACAAGAGATGATTAAATTCAGCCAGATGATTGCAACCGTCCCCACCGGTGTGGTTCTGCGGGTATTGGTGGAGTTGAACATCTCACCACTGGGAATGAATGTGTTTCCGCAGGAGGAGTTGTAAAACAGGGAAGTGCCAAAGTATTTTATTTGAGGCACAGGGGAATTAACTCCCTCAGCAAAGGTTAGAGAGAGAGGGTTTGGCAGAGCCTCAAAGATAATATGAATTCCTGCGTTTCTACTCCAATGCCTTAATCATAAAATCATGTTTTCTCTGATTTCTGTTCTGTCTGTGGTAATTACAGTTTTGGCTGGTTTCTGTCCTTTATAAAAACCTGTCTTTCACACATCTTGTGCAACTAAAAAAAGAAGACAAAACAATCATAATTTTCCAAGTGTATAATTCTGGACTCCAGCAGAGGCTTAAAACAAGTGAGGTAATTATTCCACTTGGTTCAGCACCATTTGGAGCATTAGGCTGTTTTGCGAATTGTAGTTTTAAAATAAGACACATGAACTGGAAAAAGTTCAATGAGCAACATGTTAAATAAAATAAATGCTTGCAAATATCAGCTGAAAGAGAAAAGGAGCTGGCAGTGAGCCTTTGGCATGAAGGTGATTGCAGGAAGACGGGAAAGATCAATGATGTGGAGGGAAGGTTAAAGAAACAAAAAGCCAAAAGAAAGATTAGATGCTCTCCTGTAGGTGATGGGAGGACACCAGGACATGCTTTCGGGCTGAATTAATCCTGGTGCAAGATAAAACATCCCCCAGACCTTCCCCAGGGCTCCATTTGGACTGCGGGCAACCGCAGGAGGTCAGGCAGGGGAAGCTGCCAAGAGGAGGTGGAGCTGGCTGGTTAAAGCCCAGACCAGACGTGCATTTATTAGCGCTGGTTAATGAACTTGTTCCTGGCAATCAACCACCAGGGCAGGAGGTGGCCTTGATTTGCAAGTTGTGACTGCCAAGAAAGTCACCCATAATTGCCTGTGATCTTGTGGCTTTCTGATTTTCACCTTGGTCTTCTCTTCCCCTGGAAATAGGGTTTGAGTGGCTTTGGGTTTTCTCCTTCCCTTCTCTCTCCAGGTTCTTTGCTTCACATTAACACCATTTTCATGTTTATCGCTACTGCTGTGATTAAACCTCTGCTGTGGTCTGATTTTGGGTGCAGTACCCATGGTGACTGTAAAACAGCAGCCATTCACAGAAGTAAGGACAGCAGTTACTTAGAGTTGCAGAGGGAATTCAGGACCATTACTTGTGGCTGAGGAGAGCACAGTGCACTTGTATGTGGGCTGCAGGACACCCTTATAAGACTGATTTATAGTTTTAAACAGCTTCTAGGTGTTAACAGCCCCATGGGATTGTTTCCCCCCTCCTTTCCCCAGGCAATTCTGCGCTTTGGTTGCATTTCTAATTTTCTGCAGTATCTGAACGTGCTCTGTTGCACTGTAAGCATCACTGAGACGCTTCTCAGTCATCTGGGGATGGCACAGGGGCTGCCAAACAAGACCAGTATTGCTGGAGAATGATGTGTTGCCCGCATAATCCTCCTGCCTTTGGTGGTGTGTGAAACTGCAGGTTGGACAGAGCAGAAGTAATGTAGGCTTGGAGGCCCTGTGTAAAGGAAACAACCAAAGGCTGAAATGATCTTCTGTTTAATTAGAGGTGTGAGTGCATGTAAGAGAAAGTTACTGACTGCACGCTGCATGTGCAAATGCAGAGCCAGAAGCTGGAGATCAGGGGAAAAGAAAGTCTGGGTTTATTCCTGTGTTCCTGGAGGCAGGAAAGCAATGGAAGCTGCCATGCTGCAAGTTTCCAGTTGGCCAACCTTGGACTGTTCCTTTTAAATGCAGCAAATCAGGAAGGAGAAGTAAATGCAAAAGTTTTGTTTTTTTTTTTTTTTACTGTTTCCTATACACAGAAGTGAAAGATAAGGCTGAGAAAGCTCAAATGGCTAAAGTGGAGCCTTATAAGCAGCAGTTTTACTGCTGGTATGAAAGAATTGATATGAGTAATATCTCAGATTAAGGTCCAGCCTGTCGGGATTAATGCTGGGGGGGTGCAGGGTGGGGTGGGGGAAAGGTGCTTTCAGGTAGAGATATTGCTGGATCCATGGTGAAGTTCTTGGGTTTGAGGCATTTGGGGGGGAGACGTGTTTTGATGGGGGAGCGTCCACTGTCTAGAGACAGGTGTCAAATGTGTGCAACAGGAACAGTTGCAGATACAGGGAGAGACTGCAGAGAGTGGCTTGTTCCTGAGCTGGAGAGGAATAAAAGCAAGAGAATGACATTAGCATTTAATTCCTGGCAGTTGCTACAGTGCATAATAACATCAGTTTAAAAGCTTCTCATTTCCCTCACTTTGTGCATTATTAAGGCTTGAACCTCTGTTTAATGGCTGGAATATCACTTTCTGCTTCCCTCATCCTAGGCCTGCAATTGATCTACATAACCTACTAGATCTCCACTTGGTTTTCTGTAGCATGTGAGGGTTCTCACTGTGTCCTGAGAGACACAACATTATAACTCAAGCCCTCTCTTACAGTATATGTGTTACTGTGGTCCTTTGCTTCCTTGTGGGACAAGTAGAGTAACAAGAGAGGGGAAAATACTGGCTTTGCTGCACCTCAGATGCTTGTGCCACGTTGCCAGGGATGTTTCCATCATGCTGGGCAGGTTTCTGCTCAAACCCCTCTCAGTTGTCTCTCCTTTGCATGGCAAGTTCTGAGTCCAGCACTAAGGCCACATTGCTGCATGGGCTGTCTTAGGAGCACTGTGCAGCACTGTGGCAGTCCAGCCAAGCAGACAGCTTTATGGAGACACTCCTTGGGGTTTCTGAGACACTTGCTGGGGAGAAAAGGTCTGCCTCCAACTACGGTTTGGAAAGTCTTTCCCTCTGGTTAGTACCTTTGGCGCTCACAGGTTGTGTTAGGACAGTGTCCAGTTCTAACAGAGTCCAGTTCATCCAGCTGTGTGTGTAACCACCTTAAGGAGTTCTGCTCCTGCTGAGCTTACTGTCTGTGACTTTCCTGATAAAAAAGAAAGGAGATATCTTGCATTTTTAAAAAGGTTTGCATCCAACTGTTTTATGAAACAGTTTTCATAAAGATTGAGCTTGAGGAAATGTGTCCATCAACACATTTTCGTTAAATCTATAGGCTAGTGACATCTCACATAGCCTGGACATTTCTACCCTTGATGCATTGTTCAGTGCCAACTTCCCTGTTTTCCTTTCTGTGGTTATGCTGTAGACCTTTTCCAGGATCCAGCTTCCAAAGAGAAAGTGCATCTTATTCAAACTGTTCTAAACCTATTTATCCGGGCAAATATCTGCACATGTAAACCAGCAGAAAAGTGCTATGATGTCTGTCAGGGCAGGAGAGCACACAGACCCTGTGAAATGGTCTCTCCTTGGTGTGGTTTATGTGGAGGTAGAAACTACATACACACAACACAGTGAGTGAGGGCTCTGTACCTGTTTGAACTCCCTTTTCTCAGCACTAAATTCAGTTTGCACAGGCTTCACCACATAGGGGCTTTGAGGTTAGGTAGCTGCAGGAAGATCTCTCTCCTCTATGTCACTAGCTCAGTCTTTAAAAGCCAAGAGCTGTCATGAGCTGGTGGCTGTGTAACAGACTCCTCAAAAGCAGCTGGTATCACAATTGCATTGCTCAAGTTCCCACATTTTATCCAGAGCACGTTGTCTCAGACTTACCTTGAAGAGGATTTCTCATGCAGCTGCTGATCCGTCTTGCTCCTTAACACAACTGAAAAGCCCTTAGAGCAGATGTTGTCACTGTGCTTGAGCCCTTCTTGCATGAGAAACATCTGGGAAGAAGAAGCAAGGACTGGTCAGAAATCCCACTTTAAACTCTGTTCAGTTCAGTGGGTCTTGATAATTTTACACTCTCATCATAAAAGAGACTTCAAAAGAGGCTCCTCCTGTCCCCAGAGGAAAACTGCACTTTTGTTCCTGGAGACTTGTTCTCTGCACTGTTGACACAGGCTGCTAGAGCCCATGTGGGCCAATGGGAGGTATATATTGTGATATAAGTGTTCAGGAATTTGGCAAGACTTCCTTGCTGCCAGAGCTACACATGTGAAAGACTGGGGCTTGTTTTCCTTTTTTTGACTTTAAACTTTTGGCTGCCTGAATTAAACATATTTCTTGTTGATTCTGTAATGAAGACAAAGGCTTGAATATTCCTGTGTTGCTTTTTATTTGCATTTTTACTACAGTTAGTCTCATTTCCCTGTTGCTGAAGGCCATTAATGAGGAGTTGGATGACTTGTCTAGGTTTTCACTTTTTATGATTTTCCAAAGCTTTATACATAATAAATAAGGCATCCTGTTTTGCTTCTGCTATTAACAATGTACCTGGAGCAGAAGAATTGATGGAATACATCAGGTTTAACGCCTTGACAACAACAAAGAAAGACAACAAAATAAAGAAACGCACTTGTGGTGATGCTTTTCCAAACTGTCATCATCATTCTTTCACAGATCCAGCCATGAAATGGGGACAAATAAAAGATTTTGCCATGATGTCACCCTCCAGTCCATCCCAACCTGAGCTTGAAACAAACTGTTGATATGACCCGTCCATCTCTGCAGCACACATGGCTTCAACTTTCTGTTCATCCCACCTACAGATGACAACTCTCCTTCTTCCCTTAAGGTGAGATGCTGTCCAGCAACAAACCAGCAGACACATTGTCTGGCATAGATACCTTGACTTGCAAGTTATAGCGACTCCATGGCAAGACTCTGTAAGTTTTTGCTTTATGAAGATCTCTCAGTCTCATTGCTCTACTCTCCTTCCCTGAATAAGGAGGACTGAAGCAAAGGAAGGTTGAAGATCTTGCCTCAGAAAAAACCTTTGGAGTTGCTGCCCGGCACTGAGCCATGAAAGTTAGCCAAATCCACATTAAGCTGCATTTCATTGAGAAACCATTTGAGTTCAGTCTGACCTTTTCTCTTCAATAAGAATTTGAAAGTCTTCTCTTGCACAGCAAGCTGTGTTGGCACAGCATCATGAAAGCAAAGCTGGATACTGGGTTCCTTCTGTACCAGGAAAGTGTTCCTAGGTCAGAAAACACTTCTGTTAAACTAAAACCTATTTTATTTAAAATAAGGTTAAAATAGTTTCCTTCCTTGTGGTTCTTTGCCCCATGAACTTCCCCCTTTTTTGTACAGAAAACCATGGGTCATTTGTTGTGCAGTTCCTGCTCTCACGTACTTTTGCTCCCTGCTGACATGCTCAAACTTAAATTCCTTCTGCAGTTCAGACTTAGTGAGCTTTTCCAGTCCTGCTTTGCAAAGTCGTGCTACAGAGGCACTCTGCTCACCCCCTCCAGGGTCTGAAGCTCCTTGAAATTGTAGAATCTTACCCTGGTTTGTGCTGGAAGGGACCTTAAAGCTCATCCAGCTCCAACCCCTGCCATGGGCAGGGACACCTTCCACTAGAGCAGCTTGCTCCAAGCCCCTGTGTCCAACCTGGCCTTGAACACTGCCAGGGATGGGGCAACCACAGCTTCTCGGGGCACCCTGTGCCAGCGCCTCAGCACCCTCACAGGGAAGAACTTGTTCATTATCTCCAACCTGAATTTCCCCTGTTTCAGTTTGAACCCATCACCCCTTGTCCTATCACTACAGTCCCTGATGAAAAGTCCCTCTTGGGCATCCTTGCAATCAACCCTTGCAGAAGGGTGAAACCTGCATGGAAAGAGTAAGGTTCATGTTCATACTCTTTTTTGCAGGGGCCCTTCAGAGGATGCTGCCTACCCTGGAAAGCTATTTGAGTACCTCAACTTCTCCAAGGGAGAAGTTTCCCTCTAGGATTAGGTTTTAGAGGCAGGTCTTTTAGTGTTCCTGCTCACTGCCCAGAGTGAACTGATGGAACGAGACATTTCATGTTCCTTTAGAAAGAGAAAACTTAGTTCAATTCATATGAGCAAAATGCACAACAGTAGCTGCACTAACTGCAGTTATTTCAGTGCAGCATCCTTCCTCCTAAGAACTAGTTGCTGAGTGCTGGAATCCTTCTCTCCTCCAAATGGAGAATGAACATTGGCAGTTCCAGCTCTGTTGTTCCCCAGCTCCCACGTACACCTTCAAAATATTGCCTGCAGCAGAACATGGGAGATCACTAAAAGATTAGTTTTTTCAAAGAGAAAAGATTTTATATCTCTTTGGTGAATATAAAAATATTAATTGAATAAACCATTAATTGTCAGTAAAAGAACAAATGTAGCTTAAAAAGTATGTCAAAATGCTGGAATGTACAAATGAGCTGGTAATGTGTAGGAAGCATAAAGCGCTAAAAATACTAAATTAAAACATGCACATTTGAGGAGAAAAAAAGTCTAATTTGAAGTATTCTTCATTTTAATAGATTTTTCCTCAACTTCATTGAACCTCGTTGCTTTGTGTACTGTATTTTCCGTTTATTAAGCAATGCTGTATTTGCTGCCTGTTTGCTCCTCTCAGAACCTGCTTTTTAGGCTTACGTGAAGAGCAGCTTGCAGTGGAGGTGTGTATAGAAGTTGAGCGGTTGTTTCATGCCTGTGAATGTGATGAGCACTGCAGTAAGGACTATGTATGTTTTGGTGTTCAAAGCAGAAAACAAGTACTTGGGGAGGTGAATGTATGTTTTGCCTGGTTGTGGCAATGAAAAGCACCCAGTAACTTCAGCATTTAACACCTAAAATGTTTAGGACAAGAGTCACACTAAGCCTTTCCTCTGGACTGCACCCAGGTTAATCCCTGCGGTGCACTGCTGCAAATCTTTGCTGCAGTCAACTTCTTGGCGTCTGCCCTTGCACCACTGGCCCTGCAGATGTAACACAGATGGAAGAACTGCCCTTTGTAACTCTGATGAGGAAAGAGCTTTTATTACTGGTAAGAACAAGCTCTCTCTTCAGCTGTCACAGCCTGGGTCAGGCAAGCGTAAGACTGTTTCCTTGGGGACTGGTTTACTTTCCCTGCTGGGAATTAGCTAGGCATTAGTCATAGCTTTGCTGGGACCTCTCTTTGCTCTTTCCAAATAAATGGCTTTGGGAGAGGAGGGCAGGCTGAGAGTCTTGGAAAGGATGAGGCACCCTCTGGCAAACCTCTGCTTGGAATGACTGATTTATGGAGCTGGAAGGAAGCTCTGGGGAAGCCATCTACCATTGCTAAGTGGGAGGTCAATTTATCTCATTTCATTCACCCTGGGACTGCTGGCCAATAGTCATGGATGAGGCTTGTTCCCTGGATGCTGCAGTAGCCTATGGAAGCTGTGTCAGAGGAGAGTACAGGCACGCTCTCATGCTGGGTAGAGAGAGATTGCTCTTTTCATCTCATCCCATCAGTTTGTTAGGAAGCATTCATTATAGAAACATGTTTATGAGTGAGGTTTTTGTGCTTCTCTCCTCATTCTGAAAGAAATGCTAGGAATCCTGCTTCAGCTGGGAATTAGAAGACTCTACACATCACAGCAGAGAAGGTCAAAGGACCATAGCCTCTTCTACATTAGAGCAGTGCAATTAGCAAGGTGGGGGACATTATCTGATCTCCTACCACGGTGATGGAACTGCAGAAGGAATGATAGACAGTGTGTATGTAATCCTATTTTCACTGACATTCTTCTCCATGCACTATTTCCACTCTGGATAGGAAATATTTGCTGCTATCAGTTCCAGAACTGCTAAGGACTCCTCCAAGTACTCTGCCCATCAGAGAGCTTTATTTCAGAGAACAGAAACACTCAAATACATGAGTAATGGGAACTCTCAAGGCATTTGTCCCCTGCCCTTTCTTAACCGGATTTCCAGCGTATGTGCTGGGTTTCTGGGTCACCCACATGGAGCTGAAGGGTGCTTGGCTTTTATTTTTGTACACATCTGCTGTTGAAAACTGCCCCACACCAGTCCCTACAAAAGTGACGCTGTTTCATTCTCAGAGCAAGAGAGGAGTTCCCAGTCGCTGCCAGGGGAGATGTCGCTGCCCAGGGGGGTCCCCATTGACGTGGCCGTGCTGGAGATACTGGTGCCTTCTAAAAGCCTCTTGAGCTGCTCGTAGCTGGGGATGGACGTTGGCAGCTCTGGGAGGTTGGGGCCACCGTTCTCCGCTCTCTGAAGCTGCCATCAAGGACCAAAGGCATTGGGATGCTGCTGGGCAAGTCCTGGCTGCCTGCCACCATGACTCCTGCTCACCCTCCTCTCCCACACAGACACCCCTTATCTCATCCTGCCCTAAGAGAGCTCAGCGCTTGGTGCGGGTGTGGGCAAGTGGCTCCCTCCATGCTTTATCCCACTTTTTATCCCTGCCCTGGCAGGTTGGCATGGTCCCTGGTCCATCCGCATCTCCACCCACTGCCCATAGGGCTCCATCCCAATGGTGCTCAAGTCCTCCAGGTTCTGAACAGTTTTGTCAATCTCAAGGACGCTGTAGCTGGAGGTGAGCAGCTCCTTGAGCAGTGGCAGAGAGGTGAAGCCACAGGGGGTGATGGCTGTGCCTGTGCCACCAGGATTCCCAGCCACAGGGCTCAGAATGGGACCCTCCTTCCTGACCATCTCCATCTCCTTGTACAGGACGAGGGAGCGCACGGCCTCCTCCACCTCCTTGGACTATTCACGGGTGTAATCACCCACCTCCCCCAGGCCTTGGTTGTAGGGGTCAGCGAATGGGCTGGGCAGAATGTTGCTACCCAGGGGTGTCCCCATTGCTCACTGCAGGGCGCTGGACTGGATGAGCTTTGAAGGTCCCTTCCAACCCAAACTATTCTGTGATCATACCTGACCAGACCTCAGATGCTATCAGGGCATAAAAGAAGCCCCATGGGCAACCATTTGGACTTGCTCCTCCTCAGAGCAGTGGGCTGCAGCTGGGGACTCTCCCCTTGGGTCAGGATGCCATCCAAGGTAACTCCTCGGGATTGAGAGCCTTCCCTTTTCAGGGGAGTGACTGCACTTTCTGCATCACTGGCCATAAGCTTGAAGGTTCAGCAGTGTAGAGACGAGCCCACGTGACATCCCAAATCTG